GCCCGCCCCTCCAAACGTCCTTAGAGCTACATAATTGCTAAACCAATTATGGAAAGATTATTGAGCCATGAAACCGTGACTACAGCAACATTCCAAAACTTCATTTACCTAATTTATTTGGCTATTTTCACAAATAATTTACAGAAACATGATAACCGACTTATTATTAACTGTTATACACACTGAATTTACGAGACACATTACAATAAAAACAAACCACTCACCGAATCACGCGTGTAGGCTCCTACTCTACCCTTTTCATTCGGAAACACAAACGAGATGTTCTGCACGTCTTTTAGTCCCCATTCGTAGACGGTCGTGTCGTTCGGATCATCAAATCCAGGCACCTAAAAGAAATCATTTATTAGTTTTGAACCCATTTACTGAAAATGCTCCATTGGCCCATTCATGCAAAACCGAACATTCGAAACGCTGCGCGGAAAGAAAAAAAACAATAGGAATCAAGCTCACAATTTATTACCGTAACCTCGCAAGTAGAAAAAAGCTAGATTGGTTTACTCTCTTCAAAGTGAAGAAAGAATAGATCTTTATCAAGTGTGCGTAAAAGATAAGCCTAGCTCAGTTAACATTATGAAACCACAGGCGTTGAGAGCAAATAATTGGCTCTGTACTCGTGCTTTTGACAGAGGCGCTGTTGTAAAAAGCGGCAGCACTCATCATCTGCACAATCTGATAGAAAGGCATAGGATTCCGCCCATTCCCGGACCTCCTTATCGGGTTGATTAACTGGTATCCTTACGCTTGACATAACTGGAAGACAAACTCCCAAGGCAATTGCGATACGCCCCAACATAGGATCTACCGTAAGCCCACTACACCTGCTTTTCCCTCGTTTCCATGATCGATGCTGCCAATAATAGCTAATCTCGGTACCTCCAACCAGGGTGAAAACCGGTCGAGGATTTGTCGACGACTCGTCGAGGATTATCACCTTTTCAGTTACGCCCTCCCGCGCAGACATTCACTTTCGACATTATTCTCCCGAAGTGCGGAGCCATGATTCGAGGAACTCCACGACCGTTTTTCACCCTGCTTCCAACTGTGTCCACAAAAATCATTGTTGCGAAGATACCAGGTACGTGCTAACAGAGCTATTTACTTCCTTTTCTAGGGCGGAAGTGGTGCAGTGACAAGTGGCGCGCTCACCACGCGAGCGGTCCGGGATCAAATCCTGGGTCGTGAGTCGCCCGGGCCAACCAAGCCTTCCATCCCTCCGGGGTCGGTTAATTGGTACCAGACTTGTCTGGGAGGATAAAAAACACTGACTTGTACATCGGCTGGCCCCCGCAAGTCATTGTATAGGCCACATCGCATTCAAACGCCACTGCGAATGTACAAATGGAAGTAGAATGCGTGCCGCATCCCAAAAGGGATTGATCAACGGCAAATGCTTTATCCTTTATTATTATCTACATTCACACTAAATATCATCGCACTTCCTAAAGAGACCACCACTTCCCCCCCCTTCCACCGACGTCCCAAACGCGCACTACGGCGATTACCACCTGTGAGCGACTGTCGTGAAATCACCAACCGCAGCTCAGCCGGAGGAAGAATGTACGCCTCAGCGGTAAGGATACCCTTGCAAGATTATGGACACCGAAACTCTAGAAGATTATCACTTCAATCATTCTTCTAAAGTTGGGTTCATCGAAGAACGCCCACTGCGTTTGTGAAATCGCGCTCGGTATGAAACAAAAATTTAGAAAGAGCAACGAAAACGCACTGACCTGACACCAATGTTCGGGAGCGTACATCATATAGACGACATTCAGATTGAACATTGCATGAGGAATTTGTTGCATTGCGATCAGAACGTAGATCCAGATTTGCCACCATGAACATCCACCAATGATGTTGAGAATCCCTAGAAGCGTAGATTACTTACATGGAAGCTACTGACACCGTGCATTCGAGCCAGTGGTAACACATTCTGCTAACCAGCCGATGCTATTCAAACTTACCAGTGCTTAACCCTTTGACGACCGTGTGGCCCGCCGGTGGGCCACACTTTCGCTCGGTGGCGACACGTTTTTAGGGGTTTATTTTGGCATTTTTATGTTTCAAACTACACAAATACATCATCGAATTCGCGGAATAATGCGCTAATTACTAATAGTGAAATTGTTGGAGAGTTAATGATTATTGATGAAAAAATTTAGAAAGAAGTGAAGTGACGCATTCATAACGGCGGTCGTCAAAGGGTTAACTTGCACTCACATCCGCTTTAGACTCTCAAAGGCAAGACAAGGGATAATGGGTGTGTAAGAACGTTCAGTAATGAAGCTGAAGATGAGGAATAGTCTGGAGAAGAAAAAGAAAGCAAAAGAAACCCTTAATGAAGCTCCGATAAGGCACCCCTCTCTTTCATTCGTATTCCACCTTAAGATGGAGGACGAGTTTTACGAACGGTTAGCTCCAGGCTCCACTCCAATGACGAACCGCAATGTTGGCTGCTGCCGCGGCGAGGTGATATTTAATTTAGGAGGCTTCGTTGATTCAATGTCTTCAAAAACTCTTTTATTCAACACCGTATGATATACTCTAAAAGGGTCAGCTCTAGCGAATTACATGCACCAGTTGAAGGTGGTAGGCAGGTGGTAAAATTAGCGATGTGCGGCGCTTTTGCCACGAAAAGTGTGATGGTTGCAAAACAATTGGGCTGCAAATCTGTAACGCACTTCGTAATTTCTTGTTGCTTCACATCATCTATGCGGATGCACCCAGCAGAACAATCCTTTCCTAGGATGCAAACTCGTGCTGGCAAGAAGAAGTTTTTATTTATCGGGTTTTCAACGGACTTCTCCAGCTTTTTCGACAATAACGCATCATTTCGCATTTGTACTTTTTAAAGTGGATCGTGCTCACTGCCTTTAAGGAGGAGTTTACGATGAAAAGGGGGCTCAACTCAAATCACGATAGAGGTGGTCAGTGATGGAGAGTTGGAGAAAAACCCTTGAAAATCGCCCAGAACCCGAGAAACAGATTTAATTCTTGCTCATCGACCTCCGCATTGATGCCGACTCTCATGCGGTGCTACCACCTTCAACGCTGAGGCCGATGGTCAGGACGGTTTTGCCATTCGTAGCGATTACTCTGCCTCCTAGGAATCGAACGCTTCGCACGTCTGGCATTTGGCTGGTATTCCTGCTTAACGGCGTGACCAGCCAGCATGCGTGCAGGAGCGCAGACACGGCCCCGCTAGAACCGCTGGGGACATACTTTTCACTGCAAAACGCAGCATCGTCGTGGAATCCTAGAGGGCGCTTGCCTCTCGACTAGGTATACTTCCCCTTCTTCGACCTTCAACCTCACTTGAGAACGATTGACCAATACACCGACTAATCCTAATTCCTTTCCTACCCCTTATTGTGAATTTCTTACTTTGAAGAGCACCTCAGCTTCTTGATCAATCCCACAGCCAATCAATAACCCGGAAATTCAGAAGTATAGAAGACGATTCTTTCCCATAGATCTCTTTCACGCCCATAAATCTCCGTCATTCCCTTGTAACCGTGGCTATTCGTGTGCCGCATCATCCTCGTTCGCAATGCCAATAAATCACCATGTTTATTCTCCGCTCTCGTTGGAATGGGCGAGATCTACGACCAAACAACAACGATAGTTCCGTGTTTATTGTTATGCGATCATGCCAAACTAACAGCTCACGAGTTTCTTTTTTCGATTTTTGACTTTTTCCAATGCCAAATTCATGTAGGCCTAGCCGACATCATACTACTGTTTTTGATCATAAAAATTTCGAGACACAAAAAAGGCGATGGGGACGAAATACATTTTTCTAATATTTGCTAGCAAAGGTGAGCAAGAAAACATCTGCTAGTTACTCCTTCAGATTTTCCAAATGACAGATATGAGGCTCATGGGCTGATGACATCTGCAGCATCATCTCAGATGGTGAAAGAACACATATAGGAAATGGAAGAGCCTCCCACCTTCAAAATCGACTGGATCCGTGAACCGTCGTTCTCGTTTCGTGTCTTCACGGTATTTCTGCTGCATTCGTTGATGTTGTTCTCGAATTTCTCGAGTTGAAAACGAGGATTTCGTTTGTCGCCTGAAATTAGCAATATGAATTACCACATTCTTTCAATTCAACTTCGTCTGAATTCTTGGTGAGTAAGAAAGGCCAGTTGGTATGGAAAAACTCCAGAAAACTTATTAGCGAGCAAAGATTATCGAAACTTAACGAAGATGTCGCGTGTATTCCGCTATGTTCTCTAATCTCTAATCTCAGCGGCCAATCGCGGTTGTTTGCCCCTGGCGCTTCCGCTTCATGATGAGGGCTAAGGCTCATCCCAAGAGCATCTTAAAAACAGCTACCACAATTAAACTGACCGTCGACGATCCCTATGTAAGCCGAACGGAGTGAAAGCAATTGTGAAAAGATCATTAAAAAATAACAAATCTCACAACGGAAAAAATTGGGGCCTCAATCCAGCCATTCTCGAAACTGTAGCAGCATAACCCTTTCGGTTATGCTTTTGCCAACATTAATACTTGGAGATGGGAACCGCAGGTTCCAATACCCTTTGTGCGACGCGTATCACGCCTGCTTCGACCCAAGTAGATGAGACTTTTCACGAGTTACGTGACCCAGATGATTCATCGATGAGCCAACCATTCATGAAGAAGCGGCCCAAATCCGAGAAATGAGCTCCTTCTTTGCTCGCTTCCACATTGATACGACTCTCATTGATGCTACACTCTTCAACGCTAGCGCTTTCTCTCTCTCTGCCAAACGGCTAGAGTCAGACGGCGAGAGATTGGCGTGCCGCGGCGCGAGCACCGTGGTAGCGGCCGTGCTAGTAGCCAGGGGCATAATCCTCTCTACCAAGTAGGTCTTTTTCTTTCTTCAACCTAGCCGACCTTGTCCTGGAATCATTCTGTAAATCGATTTGCGTCCACTCGATCAAGAAGTGACGGCGGCCCTCGCGCGCAGGAAGGAAGCAGGTCACTGGACGAGTCACAAAGCGTGCCTGGCAGAATATGCAGTAAAGTGAGATGGAGTATACGCACGTTGCACATCGCACATCACGCGCTTTGACTCGTCTCTATACCTCTTCTGGCCGTGCGACAACCCCTGTCGATACGCTCAACTCGACGCCTTTGCTGTCTTATTCAGGGAACGTAGGGCAAAAAACAAGGCAACAGAAAGAACTAACTATGGACAGAGTCTAGGGAAAATTAACATGAGTGTTAATTCGCTTCCGGCTCATTAAGGAATCCCACTCTGCATGATTTATTTGGCTAATGTCATCTGGTGATCTTATAACAAGCTTTTTATTACATTTCTGCTTCAGCCCAGGGACTAATGCCATAAATCCGCCTGAATAAACAGATGTTTCCAAAAAACTCGTAGGATTCACAAAATTTTCTCAGTAAGTATGTTCATCGTGCATTCATGAATTTAAAAAAAAGTGACAGCTGCAATTTGTTCGTTCCCTTGATTCCCATCTTTCAACTAGTTTTTTCGCTCTTTTTTCCACTGGTCGGACTAGCGCTCCGCATTGACTGGGCAGAGAGGGCAGCAGTGAGGCGTGCGAGCAGAATAAACAAACTGCCAAGCCCTGGTTGTCTGATGGCGATAACTAAAAGCGCGTTCGCATCGACGGGAAACCCCCTTGCACACCTCTCCAATCCTCTACTGGAAAGCTTCAACAATGCGCCGAATAAAGGGCAGATATTAATCTTCATTCGCTCGACGCTTCCACATTTGTTATGCGAACAAAGACGTAAACACATTTTATCCTTAGGGCGTTCTGAGTCATAAATTTGCCCAAGCATCCGGCTCAAAAGGGCAATGCATTTAAGACGTATCCCAGAATCGGCGAAAGGACAGAATTCCGCCTGTAGTATCAAAAAGAGCTTTTGAAACTATTTTAGATAAGAAAAGGCTTCTGAACTCCAGCCATACCGTACGTCTTCCCGTTCTTCGCAACATTTTACGCTAAGCAACCTAAGCGGAACCCATACGCATGAAAAAGGATATCGATAGGGCGTACGCAAACAAATGTCCTATGCTAAAAGCATATTCCTGCAATCGTCTTGGTTTGGTCTACTGCGCTCGGAAGTCAATAAAAGTATACCAAGTAACAGCGGTTTCTAGCCGGGTCGATCAGGACAGAAAAGAGCAAAAACTAACAAGGGTCGTATTCGACAGTGGAGCACTTTTTGTGAATATGTTGTTTCTGCATGTTGTAGGGGCTCATGCGAGGAACACAGAACCATGATCCATTTTTCCTGAACGCCTCCAGGAATGTCAAAACAGTGGTGAAGAAATGGTCCAGAGTTCGATCCCCGGTGATGACTAATTTTTGGCAATATAGTTTGGCACCAAACTGTGCCTCGGTCAAGAATAGATGTCATTGTCGCGTTTTGCGGCAATTTGGAGGCGCTAACATAAACTGCAAACAATTGTCATCACGGAGGATCGAACTTTAGACCACATCTTCCCGCTGTTTGGACATTCCTGGGGGGGGGGTGTTCAGGAAATATGGACAACGGTTCTGTCTTTCTCACCTGACTTCACTACATACCAGAAACCATTTTGAAAAAAAATCGTTCGCATAATCCTGAAAGATCCTCCTTGAAGTTTGCATGGAACATTCAGATAGGGTCTCCCAGCGCCAAGGCTCAGCAAATGGCCCTTACTGAAACTGGCGATTTTATGCGAAAGCTCCCTACATTACTGCAAACCCAGCTGGTCGTATGAGCGCGGAGAGGTGCCGTCACACCGTTGTCTTCTTAAAGATGGGACTCTCCTTGGAAGGTGGGGAAGAACAGCACACTGACGAGATGATTAACGCGCCAATAGGGATATGGGGCTGGTAGCACTTCGCCAATATCACTCATACGACCACCACTCAATGGTTTTAAGGACTGTTAGCAGAGTTGCTCGTTCGCCTCACCATTTCCCAACCAACACCCTACTTGCATTACAGGGTGCCATGATCCACCAGTAAAATTGCCTATAATAGTCCCAGCAACCGGCCTATGAGAGATCAGCAAGAAAAAAGAGAAATGGTGATCACATAAAATGATCGATTTATTGATTGAAACCGTACCCTCGCTCCTCCCGGTATGCTTGCTTGTTGTGAACGACACATCAGACATGTACATCGATGACTTTGGTGTTGCTTGTTCCCCCTCGTTGTGCATCCTCATCGTTGACGGCGTTGCTTGAAGCTATTCCACTATCACTTTTACCATTTCCGGCGTACATCTAGAAATCATAAATCATTAACAAGGAAATCGAGTACTTCCATCTGCTACTTGAGATAGGATCATTGTTAGGCTCCAGTGGCTCTTCAAAAATTGAAAAACCGGGCGTTGCTGCGGGCTCACAAGATTCATTCGAAAGCTCCCTATGCTGCAGTAAACTTTGTCTTATCAATTCAAGCATACAGGCCAGACACTGAGGCGCTGAGCCTTTTGTCAATATTTGAGGTCATTTTTATCGGATCATCCGCTGATAATCGGATTCACCGGGGAGGCTCAAATTGACTTAGTAAAGAAGATGAAACATCATGAAAACAATCGAGGAGATACTCTCGAAAAATGGTTGCAAAAAAGAACAGTCTAATCGAAGTTCAGAATGTTAGTTGCCAACTGAAGTTCACAATTTCTGAGTCAGAACTTCAACTGGAATTTCAAGATGATTTTGAAGTAAGGGATTTCTATTATTGACAACTACAGTGCCGAAAAACTCTCTTCCACACAACCAGAAATGGATTTAGAAAGTAAGGCTTTGGTTTGCAGATCTGCTCGATGAGGAAAAGTCGCACTCGTCGCGACAATGTTTTACCGCAATCAACACTGTTTTATCTACGGAAAAAAAAAATCGGCAAATGCGTTCCACACCTTTTTTCCCGGCCCGTTCATTCTCCGGAAGAGCGTCAAGCGATGTAATGCATAACACCTCACGAAGTTATACGATGTGGCAACTATAGTTGCCACACCCTTTACATTCAGTTTTATCTTGAACGCGCCATTTCTTCCCAGGTTTTTTGTGTTCATTTTTTAGGCCATACCACAACATAACCAAGAACCACGCGGCTTATAGAATGACCAAATATTCTTTAGTTTGGCAGAGGTTTTTCGGACCGGACGAAAATATCCGTTCAGTTCATTCCTCATTTTCTCTTCATTAACACGAACATGTAGATAAAAAAGAATATTAGAAGTGAGTACAAAGCTACTCGTGTGGCAAGATATGTGTTTTTACCGAAACAACCACGTCCAAAATAATTTTGAAATCACTAAAGCAAAAGTAAGTGAAACTTGCCTTTTCAATGCTGTAACACATCATTCGACCGCACTTTCACATGTGTACCTTCCAATAAGTTTGACACACCGAATATCAGTGAAAACATTTTGTCGCATCGAAGTATTGCGTATTTAAAGCTCAAAATCCACAGATTTGTTGTGAGGCGGCGGCGCTCGCAGAACCGCTCTGGTCCCACGCGGCCAAAAATGCCAAAACGCGCGATGTCGTCAACGTGTTAAAGGTGGTACAAGACAATCTTCGTACTGGCAACCAAGCATGCAATTTCAAATACTTTGCTTTGAGAAACGTCGCAGGATTTCTCGATTGGAGGCCGGGAGGCACAGAATAATTCGCAGTAAACTTTTTTTTCTCAGACAAGGGAAACCCAAAGCTTGACTGGAGTTTGAAAGGCAATTTCGATTCAAATTTTTTCAAAAACCATCAAGAAATTTTACGAAATTTTCTACAGATTATTACGAAAATTCTGGATGTTCCCTGTTTTACTGCAGCAAATACGCTCCGTTCGACGAACTTTTTTGAGGGATCCGACGAACTTTTTGAGAAAAGATGGAGCCGCAGGTGGTCATTTGTCATGATGATTTATCACGATATCATGCAAATGATTTTAAAAACAACGTGAACATGGAATGTGTTCACAGTAGATTCTGAATTGTAGGAACCGAATTTTTCATCATCCCATATTAGCATATGTACATCGAATGGATAACAATAAATACTACATAATTGAAACCAATCTCAAATGAGATCATTATTACGGTCAAATTTTGATTTAGAAAGGGATAGAGCACTTACTTGATCAGCAACTGGTCAGTCACTCATCAAGAACATTTTGCTGGTACATATACTTACGGGAATACTTATAAGCGCCCTAACTACTACACATACGTCAATGACAGTTTTCTGCTGTTCCAAGTGTTTTAAAAAAAAAAATTAAACAAAGGGGTTTCCCACAATAATGTTGCCAGTTACTTTCCGTTTCAAATATCAAAATAACTTCCTGATAAATTTATGCAGTGGAGAATCTTATCAAAATAATCATCAACAATAAAAGTTTACATCTACGATTTATAACCCCTTAGGCACTGTTTTTGCAACTCTTTACTACCTTGAGGTCAGAATTGGATTTTGCCCCAGCTTAAAAGGTAAAGCTGGTGACCTACTTAACCGATCCCGACCCATAACACATCCTGGAACTCGTTGTGAGGAGACGTATCTATAGGAGTTTAAATTTTTCCGTTTCATTCGCTTTCAGCGGAGTTATGGTAGTGCGACGGTCTTTGATAGGTGCGACGGTCAATCACCGTCATTTTTTCACATTCTGTGAGCGGTATTGTACTTAGTCCCTAATCAAAATGATAAAAGCATGTTGTGTATCAGAAGAAAAAGAAATAATAAGATCACATGTCTAGTGTCGCTGTGGAAGAATAAGCCGAAAACGCGAATCCAAACACACGGCCGAAGGACTATAATAATAAGCTCCTCGATATAAAGCCTCATGATGTTATGTATGGAGCCGAACTTTAAAAGATATTTGGAAGACATCACATCGCAACCTTGGAGCTCATCAGCCAAATGACAAAAGAAAAACGCTCTCTGATGTTAATTAAAAAGCAAAAGGATTCAATCTAATGAATCCATCCCTCATGAAGAAATTTAGCCTCCATTCGCATTATTTTTGCTGTTCTGTTAGATGTTTGCTTCACGGTCATGTTCAGCGATTCGAATTCAGGTTTAAATCAAATCATTGCATTATCTCAGGTAAATTCAATTCCAAATACTTACTTGCTGGCTTGAGGTGTTATTTTACTATCACCTTCAGACCCAATTTTACAGCAGATATTGGATATATTATTCATTTTTCAAAATGAATCCAGTTTATTGTAAAGCCAGCACCTAGATGTTTTCATAAGCACCACCGAGTCAGCTTTAAAGGTTCGTGTTTATAACGAAGAAAGAGCCTCTATTCCCAGCTCTATATACTATAATTTTTATTTCCTTTTGAACCTTCCAGTTATTCGTGGTTTGTAGGGCTGTGGTTATTTTTTCAGCACAGCAAACTAGATACAACTTTAAAGATCAACGAGTGGATAACGCTAGAAAGGCTCATGCAAATCTTCCTCCCTAGTTCCGCTCTCCTTTTGGTACGCAAAAGGACATCGATCTTCAGATAATTTATTTCCTGTTGACTCTTTTAGGCTTTACTACAGCTGAGAGGAAGTTCTGACCGCCTTCCTCTTCATCGCTTTTAAGGCCCCGTATTTCTATACCCGCACCAGGGTTTAACAATTACGCTTCAGTGGGCGCTGTGTACTTGACTTCTTTCTACAAAGACTTTAGCAATTGAATAGGTGGTGGAATGAATTATAGTATGAGGGCAGCCCTTGATGGGTGTTTTTATCCGGGCTCCAGCGGTAGTAGAACAGTGAGATCGCCCACGAATCAAATCAACGTGTGGAACATGCGAATTATGAACTGCACAACCATCACCCTCCCCCGCTGTCATTACTTGGACATTGTTTTACTATATAAATAGTACTGGATACATGAAAGAAAAAAACGATAGAGATAAGAGGAAAAAAGATGATAGGGGTATTAAACCATGAGGTTAGATTTTCCAGGCATAGCTAGGGTCACCATCTAAAAGTAGGTAAAAACCTTCAGGAATTTTGTGAGCATCTTCGCTCTTCTCTTCTCAGCATCACCTCTTCAGAAACCTTCTTCTACGAAAAGGACATTATGGAGCACGCTAGTCAGTGATTCCCAAACGACTTGAGTTAGTTTCGACCAATTTGGTTTCCCTGTAGGCTAAACACCAGCAACCTCTCTCAATGTCACATTTGCCGTAGAGACTAGCAATCCCTTCAAAGTTGAGTCAGACAAGGACCCCTTCTCCCTCTCATCAACTCCCCCTGCCGCCCTTCCCTCACCACCCCTAATGCTCAATGCACGTAATCATGGATAGGTTTAGTAGAAACACTGAATGGATAAAAGGTCCGAGTAGCCAAGGGAGATCGATCGCCCACTGTGCAATCCGCTCCGAAAACGTCATAATGAAACGTAGGAACGAAGAATAGAACAAGAAACCAAAAGAAAAACACAACAGTCCTGCAAATAATATCATCTAAAAACGAATAATGAAAAGGCCCAGTCGGGCAATCATGGAGTACCAGAAAAGTTATGTTAAGTGGAAAGAGTTATAAAAAGTCAAATACTTTCACTGATTAACGCTTCCATAAAAAACAGCCGGGCAATGAAAAAAAAGCAAAAATCGATGAAAGCAATCAAAAAATGCTGCTTACCTGAGGCAAAGCTGTGTCGCTTATGGCGAAAATCGGCGCCAACGACATCGGGGTGGGATGATATTGTCCGGCCAATGCAGGTTCACTGGAAATTCCTAATTAATTTCAGAAGATAAGAAGACAATAATAATCCGACTTTCATTGAGCCTTCACGGGATCTCAAATTTACCTGCAACATCCCTCATTGCCCAGCCAGGCCGTCTTAACAATCCAACACCCCGCATTCGCGACGCAATGAACGTGGGACATGCTCGTTTTCGAATCGCTGACGTCACCGTCCGATAAGAGAGTGTGTCAAAGAAATATTCTATTTATAATTCTTGTACATATGAGCGCACCATTAAATTTTGTCAAGAGGCTACAGTAACCGGTTCTATTCCAAACAAATTCTGACATCATTTTTGGAAACAATAGAATTAGATGCTACCCGAACAGCTCATGGAGAATGCATCAGCAGCCAACAAGGCTTTGGACGAGCAACTATTTTCTAATTATTTCTCATCTCTATGCCACAAACCGCTACAGCACTATTTGGTTTTAATCCTCGGACCTGAATTTTTCCCCGTGGAGAAATTTTTCTTCTTCTAGCTATTGTTTATTGTGAGCATATAGGTATCATTATGGCGAAATTTGGAAGCTATTCGATCACAAACAAAGAAACTAAGAAGCTTTGAAAATTGGCCCACCTTCTTAGTTTTTAAGCTTATGTCGAAACAATTCGAAATTTCATAGTTATGCCGAAAAAGTTTATAATCTTGCATAACATTATAACCCATAATTTTAATTTAGGAATGGATCTACTTCAAGTATTTTAAGAAAAAGTCACACTTACTTGGCCGGTTGCGGGGGTCAGCGCCCATTCACTGTTGCACTTGTACACAAATACTTGCAATACTAACAGCAAACACAATGAAATGGCAGGTTAGCTCATAATTAGGAAGGGGAAGGTTGACTGAAGCAACTCTAGCAGGATTAGAAAAACCATGCTGTTTCAGCGGCAATGCAAGCGTTTGAATTTGGTGGTGGCAATTGCCACCGCCAGGGCCGAAAGGGTTAATGTCGATTACTCACCATCAAACTGTCACTTCCTAACAACCAATTCATGATCTATAGTGACTAGATCATTAGACCAGTCCCTCCTGCATATAAGGTTCCGAAATCCACAGACGCAGAGATAGGGGCGCTCTCGTGGCTTAAAATATGTGGAAACGATGCTAGAGGCTTATAATTTACAAATACGGACGCCTCAAGCAACCAGGGACGCCCACCTTGGGGGGGGGGGAGGAGGCGATTCGCACGGGAGAGAACCATGTATGGTACCGGGGCTACTGCTATATGCCATTGTGATATCATTTTTGTCCGTTTGACTTGTCCATATCGCTCTCGGCACCCTGAATAGTGCACATCCAGAACCTTGTTACCAGGCTATCTAATAGGGGTGAGCACGAGGCTGCGAGAGACGGTTTCGAATTCGCCATCGTGATCAAACCTTTCACTCGCAGTGGGACGTGGTTTAGATCACCTCCAATGCCTTCTACCAACATTGCCCAGGAACGTAAGCAACGCCGTACTCTGTCTCCAGGGGCGCGCCCAATCATTCACTTGCTGCCTATAAGGCATTTTTAGTGATCTTTTTCGCCTATTTTCTTAATGGGCGAGTCGATTATTGCCCGCATTTCTGGACTTAAGCCCCACAATCACCAAGTTTTCGCTATCACGATGGAGAATGGTCTTTGAGGAAAAAAAAACAGAAGTGAATCGATGAAAAGAATGTATAGAACGACTAGTAAAATAAGCGAAGAGAATGCCTTTTGTCCAACTTTTACGACAATTAAATTGTAGGCTTATCTCCGACTTATGAGATCATATAGCTCTGGAAGAGAAAGGCTTACTGCTGTTCAATTTAAATGTGGAAAAAACGATCAACATCAGGAAGAGTTCAGTAAAAATCATTTATGCGCAAGCTATGAGATATTCTGAAGCCTTACCTATAGATGAGTGGGCAATTTGAGAAGAGATTTGGTGTAGGTGTGCGCGGAGTCTCTTGTGCGTCTGGTGATTGTGCATCCTCTTGTTCAGTCTGAAAATCTGGAGCGCTCTGAAAATTAAGCCTACGATATCAGATGAGTCTCATTAATACGTAATTGATACAACAGTACCTGTGCAAAAGTAAAATTTGGACGTGAATCTGATAAGGAAGTTGGCGTTAAAAGGCATCGTTTCTCTGAGTCATCCATAGTGATGACAGCTGTCATCCTGAAATTGTCAATGCTCTTTGAAATTTCTTGACATAGCCGAATCTATTTGGGACTTTCAAAAATTTCAGTGAAAATCTGGAGTGCCGTTATCATGAAAATGAATGAAATAACAAATAAGCATAGGACATTGAAGGATGGAACGTTCAGTTCCGGGCAATGTTCTCAAAGATCTGTCCAGATTCGATCTTCAATTGTGACAACAGATAACGTGCTAACGTGTACAGAATCTATCAGTAATTTTGGAAGTCCTACTGTCCCTCTCAGGCTTTATTATGGGGTGTTCCAAGGAAAGCCATACTCCTACCCAATGTGATTAGCAGCCATCTACATAACTTTTAACGTATTCTAATTATTATTTCGTTAATTAATTGATCACTAATCAAATAATACTATTCACTCAACAACCAACTAATTAGAATTCGAATGAAAAGTAGACCTTAAGTAGAATACGGAATTTGGTCACGGAACCACAGAAATTCCGAACACGGAAATAGTGGACAACTCGAGAGATCGTCAGAGTTCTTCTCAAAAAATGGAATACGACATATGGGCAGGGTAAGAAAAAATCCCGAAAAGTG